GAGAAACCTCCAAGATATATATTATTTTGTCCAATTTTTTTTAATTTGATCATTAAATTTAAGAATTTTCATAAATTTAATCAAACTCGTGAACTGAGTCAACTTATTATTAATATTAATATTTTGACCATTTTTAATATGTTTATTATGAAACAATGTAATATAATATTAATATTTTAAAAATATTATTAAGAAAAGTGAAAAAAATTTTAAATATATTTTTAATATTTTGATTATCTTTAATATGATTAGAAATAATGTAATACAATATTAATATTTTAAAATATTGTTAAGAAAATAAATTTTTTTTAAACCTTTACAAAATGGATAAATTTTAACTTTAATCTTTACATTTTTTTTTTCATTTTTTTCTTTCTAAAATTTAGATTATTATTTTTAGTCTCTATTATTATATAATCATTTTTAACTATTTATTTTTTTATACATTAAAGGATTAAGTAATTCTCTTAAATATTATCCGCATTTATTAGAGATACCATGTTACTATGTAATATCTTTAAAAAAAATTTATAAATCTTTAAAATAAATGTTATTTATATACTTTAAAATTATTATTTAAAATTAAAAATAATTATTTTAAATTTAAGAAATAAAATAAAAATATTTTATAAAAATTAAAATAAAATTTATTCATTTTATAAATAAAAAAATAATTTTATAAAAATTAACAATAATGTATATAAAATTTTAAGGCCGAAAAAGAAAGGAAAATATTTGAAGAAGGTCAATATGAAAAGATTCAAAAGCCTCTGAGCTAACCTGTCTGAGCTGCTACTTGGGAAATAATCCCTCCTTTTCGCACGACACAACCGTAAGCCGCCGCTGTTGGCGTGCACAAACGCAAGGCCTCCGCCCCGCACCCGCCGCTGTTGGCGCGCGCCACCGCAAGGCCTCCGCTGTTCGCACAACCGCAACTCCGAAGTCCGTCTGCAATCGAAATCGCACTTCCACTGTCCGCGAGTTGTAACTTTTTGCAGGTTAGTGATTTCATTTCACATTTTAACTAATTTCTTTAATTCTAAATGCCTAAATTAGTTGCTCTGTTGTGATTGCAGGCTTTTAATTGCTTAGTTGTAATTGTACGAGACTATTAATTGCATTGTTGTAAACTTCTAACTGTTGATTGGCAATGTCTCTGTTGTAAACTATTAATTGTAGCTTGCTGAGTTGCTTGCTCTGTTATCTGTTATAATTGTAAACTTGTAATAAGTAAACTTGTGGGTGTATCTAATTTTTTGAAGTATGGTATGAATTTTATAAGAATGGAATATATATGACATGAATATTTTCATTTTTTTTAATGGAGATCGCATCATGTCATTCAATTAGTGACCCATCGGTTGAACCGCTGACTCGGTGCTCTGATTGAGACGATGACTGGTAGATGTTTTAAAACACTGATCTAAACACACACTTAGTCTTTCAATTTGTGACTAAGATAACACTTATGTTGATTTTTGTTTTTGACACATGTTATGGGAATGAGGAAATACTATTTTCTTTTATAATGATAAAAGGCTATTTAATAGTGTGAATTTGTTTTTTCAAAACCTAAATTGGATCGTGAAATAGGTTTTGACCCTGGAAGCAAGAAAACACAAGTGTGGTTATAATTTCAAGTTCCTTCACTGTGTTGTGCCAAAAAGAGTTCTGTGTTGCTTCCTTTGTGCATCAATTGTAGCTACCATGCCTTCAGTGCATCGGGGAAACTTCTCCAATCGCCAAACCCAATTCTCTGCACGGTATTCTCCTAAACCCTTTTAGGGGGTTTCTTAATCTCTTCAACATGGAAAAAGTTAAATACAAACTTTTCAATATTTGATTTAATATCTTCTTTCGCAGGAGGCAGAAGATTATACAACAGAGGAAGTCTCTTCCGCTTGCTTCAGGACTGTATCTAAGTACCTATGTA